AAAGTAGTTAAGAGTAGTTAGTATTACGAGTGATGTTTCACAGGAGGGCGCTCTACTCATCCAACCACCTTACAGTACTAACATGTCCACAGTTTATTCGCAGCTAACGAAACAAATCCCAAATCTCATTTTTTCCGCGACGTGACTGTGATATTAACGTCGTAAAAATATCAGCATAGAAAGTATTGTAGCGCATTATATTGCAAAACAGATATTACAGTTCAGTAAGCTTGGAGGTTGTTCCTAGGCAAAACATAAAAACTCAAAACGTATGAAGTCGTATTAGTCTGGCTACATAAGGAAGTATCCTAACTACAGAATATTTAATGCATTTTCCACAGAGTTCTGGTACGACACCTAGATCCAAAATTTGGCATTACATAACTTGTTATGATATGTGTAAATATAAATATGAAATGAGACAAACAAACCTGATAAATCTACCATATAATTGGGGTTCGACCAATAACAATTCTGTATTATTATCACACCTTTTTTTCATTATGCCTGGTATTAGTGCTTATTTAGTTGTCTGAGATAAGTGTAAAATATGGAAAGCCGTACGGGACCCTGCTGCGTCAATTTGAATTGCATGGTGCAACATATAGCTTCAAAATTATGCTGCTTCTTCAACAAAAATGCGATTTCCGATGTCTATGTTTACCAATTGTAGTAGTAGCAATCAGCGCAAAACTTATTCACAGTCGTTGCTAATTAATTAGCAGTTGTCGCAAAACGAGTGTAGTAGTCGCGATTTAACGGGTGATGATTTGTCGAAGTCACTAACATCATGCAGCATATTTGTCGCAGACGCGATTCTTTAATTTATAGATGACGAAATTTCCTTTTCCAAGTTGACGAAGCGAACGAGTCCCCTATGGAAAGCCATACGAGACCCTGCTGCGTCGATATAAATTGCATGGTAAAACATATAGCTTCAAAATTATGCTGCTTCTTCAACGAAAATGCGATTTCCGATGTCTATGTTTACTAATTGTAGTAGTAGCAATCAGTGCAAAACTTATTCATAGTCGTCGCTAAATAATTAGCAGTTGTCGCAAAACGAGTTGTAGTAGTCGCCACTAACACTTAATTTCTAGATGACGACGACTTTTCATTTTCAAAGATGTCGACGCAAACAGGTCCCCTAGTAGACGACGCAACTTGCACTTTTGAAGTTGTCGACGCAAAATCAGTTCTCCTAGGAGACTTTACACTTTTTATTTCAAGTTGACGCAGACGCATATTTTCTAGTACTAAGACGACGACGCAAAATGTACAGTGCATTTTCAAGTTGACGCAGACGCATTTCGAGATCTCGCGTCTGCCGAGAACATGTAAATGACAAAAACCCGGAAGTATGGTCATCGATTTACCAGATCTGAGATGGTCATGTTCAATAATGTATGTTATTAATCGGTTTTAGTATTCCACAAAATATCGCTGAAATATCCAGTGTACACGGTAAAATATCTCGTCCCCTGTTATGTGTTTTCGTGTAGACCACGCAAAATGGGACACTGTTTATTGCTACCGGCAATTTATGTTGCCTTTTTCTTATCTTTAGGGGTTGGTAATTTTAAATCATAGGAAGTGGCTGGAAAATTTCTTTTAAAAAAATGCAAGTTAGACACAAAGAAAGAAAATGCATGAAAGAAGGACATTCAAGATAAATAAAAACGTACAGATAAGACACTGTGAAAAGTATTGCACTGGCGATACACTTCCATCTCCCTATATTTTAAATGCCCAACCCTTTATGTTGTGCTATTTAATGTACACCTGAGATGAAAACTGGTGTTTCATAATTACTTGCTATAATTATTATAATTACTTAATTGCTATAATTACTTAATTGCTATAATTACTATAATTACTTAATTGCTATAATTACTTGTGATAGGGAATGACAATTTATTTGCAGAAATGTTTTCAAGTACCGATAAATTTGCAATCACATTTAATCAAATCATACAAATTTGACTTGAGGAAATTAAAGGTTGTTTTATCAGTGGCATGCTAATTATTATTTAGGTCACTGAGCAAATGCGAATCTGCAAAGTGCAAGTTGCGTCGTCTACTGGGGGAACTCCTTTGCTTCGTCAACTTGGAATATGAAATGTCGTCATCTATAAATTAAGGAACCGCGTCAGCGACAAATGTTAATGACATCTGAAAAATCATCACCCGTTAAATCGCGACTACTACAACTTGCTTTGCGACAAATGCTAATTAATTAGCGACGACTGTGAATAAGTTTTGCGTTGATTGCTACTACTACAATTGGTAAACGTAGACATCGAAAATCGCACTTTTGTTGAAGAAGCAACATAATTTTGAAGCTATATGTTTTACATGCAATTTATATTGACGCAGCAGGGTCCCGTACGACTTTCCATAGTAAGAATATGTATACAGGGCTGTTTCTGCTAATTATTTTGAAATCATTTAAATCCAACCATTACGTAATTATAGTTGCAGGAGTGAATATTTCCATCAGGCAAACTTAAATATTTGCGTTTATATATTTTCATATAGAAGAGAAAACAATAATATTTTGGCGACCTGTGATGAGGCCAGACACAACACAATGTTTGGGCCAAGCTGCTGGTCTCGTTGTGATGCAAATGTATCTTGTTAATAAAGTACTTTAATATATGTCATTGATTATATCACAGTTGAGAAATTGTTGTTCTATAAAGTGTAATGCAAACTGAATTGGCACGGAGCACGCACAATGGTACATTGTTGCACGAGCACGCACAGGGAATGTTAGCAAGGCGCGACATTGCACTTTTTAACGTTATCCGATATTATCGTCTAAAAATGTCTAAGTTAGACAGGTCTGTTTGGGCAACTATTGCAACTGTTCGTTTTTCTCCGATATTATCGATAATATCGTCTAACAATGTCTAAAAAAGTCTAAAAATGTCCAAGTTAGACAGGTCTGTCTGGGCAACTATTGCAACTGTTCGTTTTTCTCCGATATTATCGATAATATCGTCTAAGAATGTCTAAAAATGTTTAAGTCAGACAGGTCTGTCTGGGCAACTATTGCAACTGTTCGTTTTTCTCCGATATTATCGATAATATCGTCTAAGAATGTCTAAAAATGTTTAAGTTAGACAGGTCTGTCTTGGCAACAATTGT